TGACCAGGGCGTACTGAGCGGTTTTAAATATTTCTTCCTCTTACTGTAGCACTGTAGCACGTTTCATCCGGTAGCGAGCAGTCTACGTACCGGTATACCGTCGAACCGGTACGTACTGCCCGTATCGAGCGGTACCATTCGAAATTGCATACCATGCTTGGGATGATTATAAGGAATCTTTGTAATAAATTCCTGGATGTGTAACAAAAATTTAATTGCTCATGTACATTTCTCTGTATATTTTCTTTTCTATTAGTAAATACTATGAGATCATATTTGGTTGTGATGGTATTCCAGAGATATAATGGACACATTATCTAGCATTGGTGACCTTGTTAAAGCCACCGAGTTTGTCGGGCAAAACTCAGGTTTGTTGGTCTTCTCAGATTGATTTAATTATCTGCTTTGGTGTGCATGTGCAGGAAAGAAGTCATTTGTACAGTTAATAATCCAACAATCCTATCTAGTAGGGGACAATAATTATTTTATCGAATAAAACTTGGGTGCTTTTTTTATATAATACTTTTTCTGAGTGATTTAAGGAAAAAAAAGAAAGTAGCAGTATTCCAAATTTTGATCCAATGGGAAGAAAACTTTTTCTGTCTCAGAATTTGATGATTGGTATCTTTAATTCTTCATCACCAGTTGATTTTGTTGTTTATCATTTGTGTTATCTTGATGATGAATGGATTCTTATATTATTTTTATTGATGATCATGTTCTGCATATTGGATAATTACCTCGTCTTTCGTTTTCTCTACTGTAATAATCTATTGTCAGAAACATATTAGGAAAACCCTACAATGAACACTTACCGTTAGAATTCTAGCTGGTATATATATTTGACTTAAATAGTGTAAATATGATTGAATTTACTGATGAGTCACAAACTTGATAGATTTAGAATCTTGGTAGAAATAAGTGAAGATGGTAAAGACATTAGTCTTGATTAGGTCCCAGAACTCCTCATGGGTCTCATGCCTTAATTTTGTCAAGGGAGAACTTGACTCCTATAGATGTAAGGGATTGGAAGATTGGGGAAGAGCCTGGGTGAGTTGGGCCATCATGGATTGGGCTCAGATTGTTGCTGTGGTCTCTATAGAAGTTTGTAAAGTGAAATTAATTGAATGGAGTTATTTGTTTCAGATACATTGATAATAAAATAGGGAGATGAGGTTTCTTCTTGCTTTTAACACTAGCATGAAGGAATTTGGTTTGTGACCACCTTCTTATAAACAGAAATTCTGGAACTTTGCCACTGGAAAATTTCCTCTTTAACTGATAGGGATTCTATGATTCATATCGTTCATTGAATTGATTATATATTTTCTCTTAGTTTCACTAAGCTCGTGTGGTGACCTGGCTTTTAGATGGGTTATCTGGGTCTAGGATGGTTAATGGATACCAACATCTCAATTGATACTCCCGATTTTGCATGCTGATCATGTCCTTTGGTAGGTTTGACACCCTGTAAAGCAATACATACAAATGGCTAAACCATGGGGAAATCAATTGATATATTATATGATATAGTTCAACAATATGTAGTTGCTTGTGAACCTTTGGTAACTGAAAAAGGTAAATGAGTCGTACACCAAATGTTATCTGAGTGGTATGGTTTACCTTCAGTGTTTGGTCGGACCAATAAATATTGGTTGGTACATTCTGGCTTGATTGGTATTTAGATCCTTGCTTTGCAAACTGAAAATCATGTACTTCTATCAGAAATCCAGGTAGGCACTTGTATATCCCATTTAATTACATCTTTAGAGCAAGAAATTTTGAGCAATTAATGTCAGGTTGCTTAGTTAATAATTGTGTTACTGTTTTCAAGATATAGAAACCAATGTTATTTTTTGAGGTTTTAGTTAGTTCCTCTAATTTCTGATGGAAACATTTTCCTAAATAAGTCGTTCATCAACCAAGCTGCTTTACCTGTTAACCATTTTGTAGTAATGTGTTTTCTCTCTAAAGTTGATTAACAATTTTATTTTTGTAGCTAGTAAACATGGCTCATTTTTCCAGGTAAAACACTGAAGGGACAATCTCAAAAAGTGCAACAAGCTGTTCTACAGGCAGGTATCAAACGTGCCCATGACAATATTAAAGTATGGAAATAGCTACTTAATATCTTTTTTGTATACAATTCCCCAGAAATTCCGAACTGGCGGTTACAATGTGATTGTGGCAACATCAATAGGTGAAGAAGGTTTAAATATTACGGAAGTTGATCTTGTTATTTGCTTTGATGCAAATGTTTCACCTCTGAGAATGATCCAGCGCATGGGAAGGACTGGAAGGAAGCATGATGGGAGAGTAGATATCCTTTTCTTGTGATTTTATTACTTACATGTATTGGTTGCTAACTAGGACAAATATCTTTAAGTTTCTTCTTGTAATTAACTTGAGCTTGCATAATTTTGCTTCAGCATTTGTACTCAGTTTTAAATGACCTTGACTTTGATTACTAGTTCTAGCTTGTGAAGGATCTGAGCTCAAGGGATACTTAAAGAAACAAGCAACCAGCAAGACTGTAAGGAAGCACATGCATAATGGTGGAATCAATAGCTTTAACTTTCATGATAGCCCTAGAATGGTGCGGCATCACATTGATGACGTTATATAATTGCCTTAAATGGTTGTTTTCATGTATGTCTGACCCAGGGCATTCATATGATCTATAGGTTCCACATATTTGTAAGCCGGAAGTGCAGTTTGTTGAACTGTCAATAGAACAATTTATCCCTCGTGGAAAGAAAATAAAAGAGGAATCAGGACATCAATCCCCGTTTCTGAATAAAATTTCAAAAGAAGAGCATGATCTAATTTCTAGGTATTTTGATCCATCCAAAACGGATACCTGGAGACCATCTCTTATTGCCTTCCCCGGCTTCCAAACTTTCCCTTCTGCAGTACATATAGTAAGACACTCATTCAAGACAACAATGATGTTAATTGATGCTATGCAACGTCTTGAAGGACTATCATTTTCCAGAGCCAAGAAGGATCTGATGGTTGAGGTATGACCATATACTACACACTGAAAGTTGAATACTTATGTGAAATTGAGTTTGTCTTTGATATTACGTTCAGGTTGCCGCCTCAAGTCAATCCATTGCTGGTATGATCACTTCACAGAATAATACTATGCAAGGTATCGGTTGTGATTAAAGTATTAATTTTAGCATTTTATGACTATAACCGAAAAGATTTTTCCTAAGAATTTTCAAATATATCAAATGATCTCCAGTGTGGACTATATTTAAGCTTTAGACATGGATAATACTTAGCAAAGTTATAATTCCATTTACGGTCGCATCTTATATCTAAGTGGGAGACTTATTGCTCTATGGATGTAGGTATAATTATCCTCTGGTTACAGGAGCTGGTCTCACTCTGGTTAGACAGAGTGGGAAGATTTCAACAATACTTGTTACTCGAGTCAGTTAGGCTATGTCCAGAAGTAGCCTAGCTATTTGAGAGATCAAGGCTTAGATGGACAATAGCTGAAAAAACGTTCTGCCATCTTCATCTATCTGATTGTCTTCAAATCAAAATTAATTGTTAACTACAATCTTGACATTTTAAGAACTTTATAATCTTTACCTTTGGTGTACTTCCTCTTGATTTTTGTTCATGCACTAGGGTAAAAACATGAGACATTATGAAATATCGGTGAATATTTGGTAGGAGCTGGATATTTAGTCAGAATTTTGTTGCCTCTTTAATTTCTCAAAGGTTAATTATGTTATTGTAAGAGGATTTAGAAAGCTGCAGAAAGGTAGCATATTGGCTAAGCTTGAGGAGAAGTTTCCTTGGATGAATTTTGTTTGTGAGAACCCTCAATTTGGTAACTTTTGGCAATTAAAGCAACATTAGGAATTGTCTTTACACTGATAAAAATATTGAAGGGTTGAAAAATGATAGTTACTGTATGTTAACTGAATATTTTGTTTATATATTGTAAGGATGAGTTGATTTAATAATTTATGGCATGATAAGGTTATGCCTCTTTCTCATGGAGTCTAGGTGAATCAAAATATGCATCCTGAATAAGTTTAATGATGTGACTGGTGTACGGAGCATTTGCATGGACTGTGTAGGTGAACGTATTGTGGTCTTTGCATATATCAATTGCAAGACCTTACTGGGGCAACAAAACCTGCGTTTGCTTATTGATTCAGCTCCTCTAGAAGAACTCATTTTCAAAAAAGAAAAAAATAGTCTCTCTGTAAAATTTATTGTGAAATATATTTTCCTCATTTCTGATATCTAGTATGAACAAGTATGGAAACTGATTGAGTAAATTGATTGTATAAAATGCAAAATAATACTTGCTTGGTTTATATTTACACTGGTAGCTGTCCTTCCATATTGTCAAGGAGGCTCCCATTAAAACTTGAAAAACTCAACTTTTTACATTTTCTGACAGATTTATGATTATTTGCATCTTTCGTTTCTAACTTCTTTATTGAATGTCTCTTTTATTTCTTTTAAGGTGTTTTGAAATGTATTGGGTTTGGCATGTCTATATGGATTTGTAGGTTATGCACAATCTTTTGTATCTATGAAACTAACTTAGATCATGTTACTGCATCCTATCTACTAAACATGAAATTATGGCAAATGGATTGTTGTGGCATTAAATTGATCCTGCTGATGTCTAACAATGTAGTAGTGTTCCTTCTGTTTCTGAAATTTCTTCTGTTTTTCTGGGTTTTTTGAAGTTTTTATACTCAATAAACTGTTAGCTTGAACACAGGGTTTGATTGTAAAATTTCTTGTAGCGCTTTTTAGTTTCTGAGTCTTGAAGAGCTATCTCAAGCTTAGACAATCGACAGTATGAGTTGTAAGCATATTTTCATAAGGTTTGTTGGGTAACAGATATGTTCATTTGCAGATACCACTAAAGATTGTACTGATGTTCAAAATGATGCTCCAGAAAATTTGTTACAAGGGAGAACTTCTGATGTTGAAGAACCAGCTAGTGGAACTTCTAGAAGTAAAGACGGGTCTGGTGCCACCATCTGTACGCCCCCCACTCATAGATTTCTTTTTGGAGGAGATTTTGTCAAAGTAAATGCTTTAGGTGGTGTTTCCATCCCAAATGTACCTGTCCTTCCACTTGAGGGCTCTGTAATTTATGAAATTATCAGGAGGAACAAGAAAGAGTTTCCAAGTCAAGAAAAGAATGAGATCACGTCAAAAGTGTCGTCACCGGTGCATGATGGTTTGCCTTTTGAAAATGCTTTAGAACTGCCATTAAATGCAGGAACTCATTCACCTAACATTGATGTGCAACAAGAGCATGGGAGGATAAATGCTATCTCACAGACACCGGTTCCTAAGCAAAATGCTGAACTTACAGAAGTCAAGATTGCTGAGACACCAGGTGACCAGGAAAAAGATATAACTTCTACATTGGTGGGTGAATCTAGCAAAATTTTTAGTTGTGTGGAGCTAAGTCCCAGACTCACTCTTTTTATCGAGAAAGGCATTGTTCCTGAGTCACCTATTTCTACTTGTAAAGTAGATAAGGTTCATGCTGGTCTGACATCAGATGAGTCTGCTAGCATGCTTCAGAACAAATTTCTGGTTGACAGGGCACCATCTTCAACAGTAATGTTAGACAATGTATTAAAGAATGAACTACCCGCACTATCTTCTAATTCTCCTAATGTCAGCAAGCTTTTAAGCAAAATGGACTTATACAACACCGAGGGAAATGTGATTGACATGGACATGAAAGAATCAGCTTCTCCTTTAGTTGCAGAAATGCAAACTCCTTTGATTAATCCAGTGACTAGCACCGATGAGTGGCAAATGAGTTCTGGAGGTGCATCAAAAACAATTATGCAAGCCCCAAAGTATAGAAGGTTATGCAAATATGGAGAGAAAGTCAAAAGGCAATCTTGTCGGACTTTGACAGAGAAGTACGATTGCTTTGTGTCAAAAAGTACTGGACCTACTGTGTTGAGCAAACCAAAGGAAATTGACTGTCACCAAGGTAAGATCACCTTACATCAGAAACATTTTTCAATCTTGTGCTTTTATCCTAAAGTTTTCTATATATATATATGTATGTATGTATATATAATTCTTTTGATGTTGTCAGTTCCATCATGCATATTTTGCCTCTTTCAGTTGTTGGAATCAAGTACAAATATAACATATATGTACTAGTTGTGAATCAATATTTGAGCCACATTGACATGATTTGGTTGTAATTTTATGTAGGTAGAAAGCAGAAGGCAAATAAATATTTTGACAACTTCATTGAAGAGGAAGCCGAGTAAGATTGGTTTTTTCTTGTTTACCTATTGCAAGTCTTCGATTTCCAACCGGCTTACATCTACAATACTAGATTACTAGTACTACTTTATCGCATCAAGGTCTTATTGTCACATGATATAAGTGAGAATATGAAAACAAGAATTTTTTGTTGCTTATTGGCTTCAGGGTTTCTGAGGATGCAGAAGTTTCCGTGGACGAGGAAGATGATGAACATGATGACAAATACGAGGACAGTTTCATAGATGATAGAACAAATCCTACTGAAGCAAGTAGTCAGACAGAAATTAATGGAGGTGACATGTTGGCCTTCTATAGGTAACTATAATAGTTCTTTGTTTCCTATTAGTTAGGTGGTTCCAGATAATTTTTCTTGAAATCATGTTTTTTCAAGAGCTAATCAGTAAGAAAAATAACCACGATCTTATGTTTCGCTAAATTAATAATTTTATCTAGCTGAACGTGTAAGGTTTAGTTACTTGGCTTCTTTTGAAAGCTAAATAGTAAAGTTCCATTGAAGAGAGTGTTCTCTTGATTTATGTAGAATTGATTACGTCAGAAAAAGACTATCACATCTTCTAATTGACATGTAACATTTTACTACGGTTTTATCTGATTTGTTGTTATCATATCTGATTATATGCTGCTGTCCTCACTCAATTTACTATTTGCACAAGTTCCTCTTTTGGTAAGTTGAGACCATCAATTTGTGGCCTCTGGAGGTTCCTGTGCTCCATGAGTCAACCTTATAGCAGTAGATTGGAGCTTACTTTAACCCTTGATAGGTTGAACTTGGATAGGTTACTCAAAAGCCTAGATAAATTGCTTGAACTGATGGTGGTAAAGTCTGACTAAATAGGTTGGAACCTAGATTTGAATTTGAGAAACACATTTAAGGCATGCTTGTTGTCCACTAAAAGAAAATCAAAGCCAACGGGAATAATTGAACACATTGTCCAAAATTCATTTCTTTATTATCTGTTGTATAACCAATGGTGGTAAATGGTAATTATCAAGCCTTTAAATGAGCTTATTCCCTACATATGGATGTCTATGGCTGTCTTTCCTTTAAATGGTTACTGTCTTGATATATATCAAGTATTTATCGAGGGTAGAATGATTAATCTCCATATTAGTCTTTTATTTATCTAAAATTATCAAAAATAATATGCCCATGAAACTTGTGATATCGATGTTTAAGGTTTTGACCCCAGGGAGGCTCTCGATGGGCCTTTTATTTTTTTCTTTTGTGAAAATAGCATGACTAATAACTAGATTTCCTTTGAGCCTCTTGCAATAATTTGTTTGCTCAATCTGAATGATACTTGGTCTTTTGTATCAGTTTAGATGTGTTTTCAATTGTTTTAAGGTTTTATCTTCGGTAGCTCAATTCTTAGATATATGCTTTTATATCTCTTCTTTGCAGGCGCTCTCTTCTCACCCAGTCACCTATGGAAACTCTGCCAAAATGTTTGGTCGATTCCGTTTCTTCTAGAGCTACTGGAAGTGGAAGCTGTTCATCAGTGAAAGTTCATAGTTCCCTTCAGACTCCTCAAAATGGCCTACAATCTTCAAACCATTCTAGTGGTAGATATTCTATATCCTGCCAAGCGGACTCTAAGCAGGGCTATCTGACAACAATGTGCGGTCAAGAAAGTAGCATCCAAAGAGAATCATCGAGTAAATTGGAAAGCAGAAAAAGAAAGTTAAGCTTTCATAATGCTTGCTCCGTACCAGCTAGAAACTTCCAGCTCGAGAGCACTGTGCATTCAGAACCCTTGGGCAAGGAATTTTCACACTATCAACCTGGGAGTACCGGAATTGGCAATGACGTGTTCTGCGATGATGAGTTCTATCAGAGTATTGATCTTGATGCAGTTGAAGCACAAGCTACTGAGCTCTTAAGGTACAAGTCCAGATTACATGTGGATAAACCACCAGCAACAGTCCTTAATATTCCTGCAGAAATCAATGAAGTCAATCATCCTTCATTTGACTTGGGATTGTAATTCTCGGGAGTGATTGATGCTTGTTTCTCCATTTGATGGGTACTGAATATTGCGGTGATTGGTCTGGTACAAGCTTTCAGCACCCACTTTTGGCAGTCTCCACAGTTCTCGGAACACGCTAAGAAGGTTCATGAGACCGGCCAGGATTAAAAATGCCTACTGCTCGAGGGCATCGAGGGCAGCAGACTGAACAGCTTCGATAACTGAACATTTTATCTATAGATCATATCAAGCTTTCGATAAACGGAGATGTTTTTGGCACGGTACCAACATGTACAGGAAAACTGGTTTGCAAATGAGCTGGCTACACATGGAAGCAAAAGCAGATGACTGATGGATTGGGTCTTCGGGATGTATTATTATTGAGCATGTGTCCAGTGTATTGTAGTCTGGCAAAAGCAGGCAAAGAAGAATTATTTGCATGTAGAACTTGTAAATTATCGACTTTGTTACGGCGAAGAAGAATATAAATCACAGTTTAAATTACCGATTCTGTATGTGATGGTGCCCTTTCTGTATGATAGCGAGTTTGTCAGTAATTGAGCTTATCCAACTCTTCTTTCTCTTATCGTAGTCCCCATGCATTGAGATTAGTGTGCAAACCCTGATGAAGATATTATCATATCTTTGCTTTCGAAATTTGGTAAGTAGGTTTGATGCAATACTTATTCCTACCTAAATTTATACTTACTTGCCAACAATTATTGATACTCCCATTTTTGATGGCAGGAAGTCTGACAGAGCAACAATTCCATTCCCACGAGGTCTAAGCCAAAGCCCGGTCACTATTGCTTCCACCAGAAGTCATGGAAGGAACCTTCTGAGATCATAGGATATGGTAGTTGTCGGTGGATAATACCTTTCAAGCTAAGAGAGATGGAGACCATGACTTTGGGAGTAGGTTGTGTATTCTATTCTATGTGTAGCCTATGAAGATAATACCCAGAAAAAGAGAAGAAGAAGAAGACAAGGAAAAGATTTCTAGAACTCACGTCTACACCAGTTGGAACAGTTCCGTAACTTATCAGCAGATTTCCATCTCAGTGGCAGTCAAAACTTCAGATTTCCTCGACAGCCTGAGCTGCCTCCACGGACTTTTCCATCAACTACCTGCTTTTGAAGTGAGTAGTAGTTATATGATCGATTTTTCGACAAGTCTTGATAGGGGATGCAATGCAAAGAATGGTTCTCAGAGACGACCAAAAAAAATTTTGATCCTTTATTTTATTACCATTGTGTATGATAAGATCGACGACCAAAAAAAACAGTGATCCTTTATTTTATTACCAGTGTGTATGATAAGATCTCTACGATAATCGAATCAAACATACTTGTTATGTGCAACAAAAAAAAAATCATTATGCCATCGGTTATAGAATATTATTAAATGATTTAATGAGAATATTTTGCTCGAATGTTTTGGTGATGTGACAAGTGACCAACTATCATGTCTACCACATATCATGTCGGAGCACACCAACTCAATTGTAGGTGGAGCTGACAACATCAGGAGTCCTCTTTCTCTCTCTAGAAGCCCGTCAACCTCAAAGCTTTATTGCAGTTAAAAACATGGGACGGTGCCATGGTTGGGTAGGTAGCCGTTTCCCATCTCGGTTTGTTTGCTTGCTTGCAGACGCACAGCTCCACCACCTCGTGGAGAAGAATGGAACGGTGGTGGAGGAGAGGACAAGAGTCCCAACTCCATCCATACAAATCCACCGGACTCGGAATAGATCCTTTGTCTTTTACGAGCTGGTAGAGCTTTCATTCTTCTCACTATTCATTCAACACTACCACCACCCACCCAACCAACATTGGTCTTCGTTCGGCTCACACATTACCAGTTGAGAGAATGCATTAGCGGATATCTAACTAAGACTTGTCGAATTACAAAGATAACTTTGTTATTGTGCCTTTCATATAACGAAAGACACATACCAAAATAGTTGATACTCGATGTGGATAGCAAGTGACGAGGGAGAAACGAACCTTTGGTATAGTTAAAAGGAATTCCTAATCACTTGTCCTTTGAATATTCGAAGAAGACTCGAACAATATTTTTAGTTATGATTCAAAGTAACATGGTAGATCACATCAACCTACGATGATACGATGGATGAATGCTAAGCATACCGAAGAGGAACTCGTTAATTGATATCAGAGGTCATTTGTTGCTAAAATATAGTTGTTGAATTCAGTCAAAGATATACAGCAGTCTAAATCTTGTTCAAAAGGATAGGATTAGATAGGATTGGATAGAATCCTCATAAGAATTGTTGATGACTTTATAATCCATGATCAAAGTTTTTGACCACAAGTTTCCCTTCCTTTCCTGCCACCCAATTTGGAAGCATCATTTGGAACCCATGCTCATGGCATAAATTAGAAGAAGAAGAAGAAGAAGGTTTCTGATGGTTGAACCCCACTTGAAATCAACACATATCTTTCTAACTCTGACAATAATCTAATCAACTCTTGGAATTTTCACAGTAGAAATGATCAAAGAAGACATCAGACACACCCCACCCATTGTTTCCTTGTCACGAGGAGGAGGGGGGAAGGTGGGAGGAGCGAAGGGTTGGCCACCAGATACCATGGACTCTCTCTCTCTCTCTCTCTCTCTACCCTTCTTCTTCCCCACCACACAAATCCATGTGCACAACGTTTGGATTTCTAGAAACCTTGAAAGCTTGCATTGAAGTCAAATGACAGAATATAAGATGAGATGGAAGAATCCTAATGGAACTGCAAACCCTCAACTCAAGAGTACACCTACCTACCAAATCCACTGCCTTTCCACACCAACTCACTCGAGTGAGCCCCTCATGGATTTCTTGAGCTCACCACCTCCTCTCATATAAATCGAACACCTCTCCTTCCTCTCCATATCAAACCCTCTCCCTTTGCTCCTCTCTCTCTTTTCTGCGACACCTGAAACCAAAGCTCCAAGCATGGGCAGGTCTCCATGTTGCGAGAAGGCTCACACCAACAAAGGAGCCTGGACCAAGGAGGAAGACGAGAAGCTGATCTCTTACATCAAAGCCCATGGCGAAGGTTGCTGGAGATCGCTCCCCAAAGCTGCAGGTAGTTTTCCCGGGAGGCTCGGATTCGATCCTACCGATGTATCCGTGCCATGTTTTGCTCATGGCATCTTCCTGTTCTTGAAGGTTTGCTTAGGTGTGGGAAGAGTTGCAGGCTCAGGTGGATAAACTACCTCCGGCCCGATCTCAAGCGCGGCAACTTCACCGCCGAAGAAGATGAGCTCATCATCGAGCTCCATGGCCTCCTCGGCAACAAGTATGAAGGCGATTGCTGCGAGACTCACTCCACTGTTTGCTTGCACGGCGGTGTTGCTCACCATGTCGGCATTGCCTTGTTGTTTCAGATGGTCTCTGATAGCTGGGAGATTGCCGGGAAGGACCGACAACGAGATCAAGAACTACTGGAACACGCACATCAAGAGGAAGCTCCTCGGCCGAGGTCTCGACCCCCAGACTCACCGGCCGATCACCGCCCTCAAGCAGGAAGAGCGGTCCATGGCTCAAGACTCCTCCGGCGACAGCAGTAGCCGAGACGGGGACGGCGGCCTCGATCTCAACCTTGACCTCTCCATAAGCCTCCCTCGCCACTCTTCTCCGGAGCAGTCCTCTCCTCCACCAGCAGCAACCGCAAGCACAAGCACCATGCGGGCCCTGTGCCTGTGCTGCCATCTCGGCTTCCAAAGCAGCGAGACCTGTAGCTGCCGGCACATCCCACGGCCACTTGGGTTTGGGTTCATCTGGCCATTGGAAGAAGGGCAACGCATAGCTTAGCTGTCTGCTGTATCTGTGCATGTCAAGAAGCTGTTCTGCTGAAGAAGATGAGAGAGAGAGAGAGAGAGAGAGAGAGAGAGAGAGAGAGG